TGTGTAGGGTTAGGTTGTGTACCTGAGACCTTTCTTGTTTCTTGAGAAAGGCTTGTACCGCTATATATTTTCCTCTCAGGACTGCCTTTGTTGTGTCCCACAGATTTTGAACCGTTGTGTTTTCATTATCATTTGTTTCCATGAATTTTTTCAACTCTTCTTTAATTTCCTGGTTGACCCATTCATTCTTTAGAAGGATGCTGTTTAGCAGAATACTTATTTTTCAACTGATGTGTAAAAGTTCAAATCTTTCAAATAAAGGCCAATTTAGAAGAGTCACTTTGTAATGTTTTAAAGGTGGTTAAAATGATTTTGTGCAATGGAATAAAATATTTAAATTTCTATTTCTCACATTTAGTTCTTTGTTTTTGTTTTCAAAGGATGATAAACCTAAGGAGAAGCAGCCGCGTGTGAGAATGAGTCAGGGATTCATCAACCAACATACAGTGGAACGCAAGGGGAAACAAATTTGTAAATATTTTCTTGAAAGGAAATGTATTAAGGTATAAAAAACTATGTAAGCAAAAATATACTAAAATGTGAAGTATGACAAAAATGTACTAAAGCCCACTCCCATTTCCATTGGGTAGTCTATAAGCATACCTGTACATTTTTATAACTGTTTCCTTCTGGAAAGTTCAACTAGAATACTTTATTGAAATATTCCTCTATGTTTTAGAAAGATACTTTTTAAAAAATGCTTTGGGTTAAAAATGTTTAGGTCTTAAGATTTTAAGCAGGTATGTGTGGTATGGTTATAAGATAGCTCTTTACGAATTAGGCTGTAGTAAAAAAAAAGAAGTTTTATACTTTAGTGTTTCTGAGACTTTCTGGAATCATTTGCTTATCTTAAGCCTAGTAATAATTGAATGACTTAACTTTGAGAATGTTAATGGCTTTTCCTTGTTCTGTTTTGGCCCAGGGAGACCAGTGTAAATTTGATCATGATGCCGAGATAGAGAAGAAAAAGGAAATGTGTAAATTTTATGTACAAGGATATTGTACCAGAGGTGAAAACTGCCTATATTTGCATAATATCCTTTATCACAAAGTATAAGAACTACTTTTCCTAAATATTTACATGAACATTTTATTTATTTATTTATTTATTTATTTAAAGATTTTATTTATTTATTTGACAGACAGAGATCACAAGTAGGCAGAGAGGCATGCAGAGAGAGAGAGGAGGAAGCAGGCTCCCCGCGGAGCAGAGAGCCCGATGCGGGGCTCGATCCCAGGACCCCAGGATCATGACCTGAGCCGAAGGCAGAGGCTTCAACCCACTGAGCCACCCAGGCGCCCCATGAACATTTTAAATACATGTAATTTTCAATGAAACCCATGTTTTAGCTATGGTAAAATTATGTTATCCAAGCCCAACTCAGTATCAGAGTGGTTAATTGTGTAGGTTTTTTTTTTCCCCCAAAGAAAGAAAAGATGGATTCTTTAGCAATTCTCTCAAATCAAGATCATTCACCTGGGTATAGTATAACAGCAGGTTCATGAGACCTATTCAGCCCCTAGAAAGACTGTCAGAATTTCTGCTGTGACATTAACTAATTGTATTTATATTCACGTAAGTTACTTTGTTGTTGTTGTTGTTTTTTAATGATTTTATTTTTAAGTAGTCTCTGCAAGCAATGTGGGACTCAAATTTACAATTCTGCAATCAAGGGTTGCATGCTTTATGACGGAGCTTGCTAGGTGCCCTCATCTAAACTACTTAAAAAAAAAGGAGGAGGAGGAATTACATAATTTGGGAGTACTTATTTTCTATATATTCTATACCAAATAGAGGTTAATTGTCCCTTAGTTTGGAAAATAACCCTAATTCTTCAGTGCAAATGGTACAGACATGTTGTGAAAACATGGAACGTAAACATTTTAGGGTAATAGCACTTTTGGGCACCACAGAAGTTGTTTTCCTTCAGTCATTCAATAGAAGGAATCTCAATTCTAACTTGAGCATTTTTTCCTAGAAAATAATATTGAAGTTGTTTAATTGATCCTATTTTAAACAAGCCTTATATCCGAAGGATTCAGATTTGTAAGCCCTATCATTGTTACTGACTTTAATTTCCCCACCCCAAAATAATGCTTTAAAGTATTTGAAATATACATCCTTTTCTTAAATCAGTGAAATATGCTGGTAGTTTATCGTGAAAATGGATATGAAGGAAAAGCATCCTGTGATAGCCATTAAACTTAATTTATATAGTTATTCTAAAATTAGATGTTTCATGTAATTCAGTTAGTCATCTACTGTCTCATATTTTAAATAGAGATTTTAGTGTTTCTGCTATTAGGAAAGACCTTTATAGAGGGCAAAAATAGTAAATTAATAACAAAATATTTTAATTGGATTAAACATGTTCTCTTCCTTAACATTTGGATTACATGAATATCCTTGCAAGTTTTACCATACAGGAACAAAGTGTTATCAGGGTGAATATTGCAAGTTTTCACATTCTCCACTGACTCCTGAAACACAAGAATTGTTGGCCAAAGTAAGTACAATTTTAATTTTTGTTTTTCTTTTTTAAAGAGAATGTTTGAACTAAAGACTAACTTTGAACTAAGAATTTTGAAAATACACTCTTCTTTAAGGTTACCATATGGGGTGTATTAGGACTGACAGTCTTAGAATTTAATTCCATATAGAAAATTAATATTCATATATATATATTTTTTGTAGCTTAAAGGAAAATTTATACTTACTGCTGGTGAGAACATTCCAATTTATACTTATACAAGCAATAAGTATAAATTGAATGTTCTTAAAACCTTCAATGTAGTTAGCAACCTTAGTAGCCAAGCTAACCAAAGGAAAACAAAATAAATAGGAGAACTAGTACTCCTATTACAATCTTAGAAGGAAAGCAAAGAATCACTGGATGGTAAATATTTTTAGAGTTACACATACTAAAATAATTATTTCAAAAGTTTTCTTTACCAGGCGCCTGGGTTTCTCAGTCGGTTAGTCATCTGCCTTCAGCTTGCCGTAATCCCACAGTCCTGGAATTGTTGGGCTCTCTGCTCAGTGTGGGAGCCTGCCACTTCTTTCTTTGCCCACCTCTCATACTCTCTCTCTCTCTGTCTCTCTTTATCTCTCATTCATATACATAAAATCGTTAAAAATTTTTTTTTCTTCAAATACTCTTTCAGGGCACCTGGGTGGCTCAGTGGGTTAAGCCTCTGCCTTTGGCTCAGGTCATGATCTCAGGTTCCTGGGATTGAGTCCCTCGTTGGGCTCTCTGCTCAGCAGGGAGCCTGCTTCCCCACCCACTCTCCCTCTACCTGCCTCTCTGCCTACTTGTGATCTCTGTTTATCAAATAAATAAATAAATAAAATCTTTAAACAAACAAAAAAACCTCTTTCAATGAGGAAAGATAACTGAAAAATAAGTCATTATATTCTTTCATTTCCTATATGTTAATTGGAATTAGTGTCTTCAAAATTAAATTGAAATATAGGGGAAAATAAAAGATTCTCCTAGAACCAAGCCGTACCATCTGTGGCAGAAAGTTCTCTTGAGTAATACAAATATTAGAAAATCAAATGTACTTACTTCTGGATATTTTTAAGTTGTAAAAATGAAGGCTTACCCTGGAATTAAAAGTCATACCAAATATTTTGTTGTTAGTATGAAATATATATGAAAAAAAGATAGATATAAAAGTTGTCTTTCAGGCCTCATTGTAAACATTAGGTGATTACAAGGATAAATAGTGTTGGACTCACTAGACAGTTCTAAGAGCATTATGATGTACCTGAATTAGACATTGATGCATAAAAATGATTGTGTGATTTTTTTTTTTTCATACTAGGTTTTGGATACTGAAAAGAAGTCATCATGAAAAATAAAAGGCATAAAAAAGGTAAAATTAGCTTTTAGCACATTTCCTTTTTATTCTCTGAAACATCTCTAGAAATTGGCTTGGAAACATAGGACTTTTCCATTTTCTAAAATAGAAATCTTTTTCTTTATCTTCCCTTGCTAACAAATTATAAAATATTTGCTACCTATGCATGGATATATATGTCCATGTCCTTGGGCCTACTTCCCTCTCTTGGTTTGTCACTATCTTTTGTAGTTTTATCCTCCTCTTTTGTTTCTTTGTAGATTTACCAAGTGTGTGTGATGCATGAAATAGTGTATTTGGTTTTGTTTGTGTTTGGATTTTATTTAAATAGCTTGGATTTTATTTAAACAATAAGTATTCTATGTACTCATTTATATACTTATGTGACTTGCTATTTTCACTTACCATTACACTTCTTTTTTGGTGGGGGTGGAGAGAGAGAGAGGGAGGGCAAACAAGGGAGCAGGGGAGAGGGGCAGAGGAAGAGGGAGAGAGAATCTCAAGCAGGATCCATGCCCGACTTGGAGCCGGATGCAGGGCTTGATCTCATGACCCTGAGATCATGACCTGAGGTGAAATCAAGAGTCAGATGCAGAACCAGCTGAGCCACCTAGGTGCCCCTCAACATTATGTTTCTAGATTCATACATGTGGATACACATAGCTCTTATTCATTAATTTATACTTTCATATAGCATTTCATTCTATGAATATGTTAAATTTTTTTTTGTTGTTGTTCCAGCTTATTTTAATATAATTGTCATGTAACATTTTGTAAATTTAAGGTATGTGTTGTCAGGATTTGATACATTTATAAATTGTGAAATGATGACCACTGTAGGGTTAGTTAACTGTTCTATCACTTCCCATAATAACCATTTCTTTTTTTTTTT